AATAATTACGCCGTTCTCCCCATTTCCTTGGGCAATCTGCCAAGGATAAAAAACGATGACGACATACCTAAAAATCATATGATCGCCAGGCGATGATCTGATTGGTTAGAACGGTGTAAAGCGGTATGCAGATATTATGTTAATCAGGTTGTGTTGACGCCGCCATTTTTTTGCACTTTGCGGAACAAAAACAAACTACGTGTGTAGCTGAACGACCGCAGGTTCGAATCGCGTACTAGTATCAACATTTTGTACTAAACACAATGGCAAACGTAACAAAATCCGACCAGGACGACACATTAAATGGTAAGTAACCTAGCAAAAATATGCTTGCCCCTAGGCAATGCTATTTTTTTTTTCATATGATGAAAATTCCTCTTTATGCAGAACGTAAACATCTCAAAACGTTGCGTTGCGACTTGTCCACGGGTCACTGTTTAATGGATTTGGTGATGTTTCAAGAAAAAAACAACAACTTGTTGCCATAACTCGTTAAAACAATAATTATATGTTTTGTGTTATTTATATACGTGTATAAATTAAGTGTGGAACTGGAACTGGAACGTCAGTGGCATTATTCCATTAACCTACTTGCATAGGCAATTACATGTAGTACAATCGTTTATACACAATTGTCAAAATCCGTAGCGCGTTCTTGACACTATATCCATTGTTGTTTTACGTGCTCTAAATTCGCTGAGAAGTGGAAAACTGTCTTTTTTCTGTGGATCAATTGAACCGGTTTTGCGTATGGATTTGTTGAGTTGTCGATGATCAATATGTTTCGAGCTGCTGACGTAGTGCACAAATAAATTTGTTTTAATTAATTCATTACCCATTTATTGTAAATCGAAAGAAAAACATTTGTTCCTCAAAAAAATAAAATAAATAATCACTCATTTGTACTAATTTTTACTCATAATGTATCCCATTTTGTTATGAGACCTTATTTCATTTAAACTGTTTGTGATTATCACACGAATAATGATAATAAATAGTGTTACGGTTTTTGACCACTGAACTTATAATATTATATAGGTATAATTGGTTATATTTTTTTTCAATAACAATTCTAGTAACTAGTAGTATAGTAATCTTTGCTTTTGAGCCAGGAATAGAATAATATATAGAGTGTAAGTCCTAACCCTAATTTTGTTTTGTATCCCATATTTCCTTCTGTATCAAAACAGCTGCCGCAATATGTTAAAATTATATTTCTTGGGAGCCTTATTACCATACATGATGCATTATTATGATTATGAATTATTCAAATTAATCTCTGTGTGTGTATTTAATTCTAACATATAGTGTTTTTTTTTCTCATGATTTTTTGTTGTTGAAATTCAGCTTTTTTTTTTAATCAATAAATGTGCATGCCCGCTACCTTCAAAATAAAGTGAATATGGTATTATAGTTACAATATCATCTACTGGTACTTTGTTACAGTGTTTTCATGGAGCTTAGCGCCTCGAAGTGCAGTGTCATGGCAATACTACACATTTTGTTTTAACAATATAATATTTTCAAGTATTTAATTTCATTTTCACTGCTAAAATTTGTGGCGATTTCAGGATTTCATATCTTTTGTGAAGACAATAGAAAGATATGCAGTTGCAGACATGTCACAACTATAAAATTTCTTGATTTTTATTAATGCACAAAATTCACAAAAATTTGACTTTTGTGAAAATAAAACGGTTTAAAGATCTGTTGATAATGGGAGAAACAAACTCATTCTGCCTAGTAGAACAATACACTCTAATTACCACATAACACCAAAATACTGTTTTGCAAATTAATGATAATTCTAGGTCTCTCCACAATTGTCATACTTTGTGGGTCATTAACTCCAACCTTGATATAATTTCCATCACAATATTGAGAATTCAACGCATCTGACCATTTAATTGTCAAGCGATATCTGTATTCAAGATCAGTACATACGATAGATAGATTGATTTCTATAGGTTCCTTTGTATGGCATTGTTTTTTGTTATGGTGATATATTTGAAAACTTTGTTACTAAGCATTTTAAGATGTGGTTGAAGGTCACTGAATATTTAAATAATAATAATCTTTAGACTCTAGTCTGTTTGTACCAAGAAATGATTGTATTGTATTTATATTTTTTTCTTATTATATGACTATATCTTGGAAAATAGCATTGAATGTAGGTAACTAATAAAACTGGAAGATTATTGCATTAATGTATCTATTTTAAGGGGGGGATTGTTAATTTTTGTTACACTGTAACATCCATTGTTGAACTGTTAAGTTTGATTGATGATACTTTCTTAATTTCCTGGATGATAAGATTTGAAGGTATTTTGGCTCTGTGGATAAAAAGAATTTGATTGAAATATTAGATGCAATCAATTCATTCATTCATACACACACATCAGGGCGGATATAGGACATTTAGGTGGGGTCCAAAATAAATGCTGGAATGGGTTGTGTTACAGTTATTTTTTATGTATGTCAGACATATTTGTGTCAGCTCCGTGGTGGGTTTGCACCAGCCCTCTCCCCTCTCCCATCTCATGCACAAGTAATATGCTTTCTTAGACAATTTTATTTTCTAAATTATTTGAAGAAACGAAAATGGAAATTTGCTGGTCTGTATTGTTTTATGAGGTTCTGGATAACAATAAAATTTAACTGCTACTGAGGTAATTAACTACTGTCTAGGCATTGTTTATTTGTTACCTGAAGCACAAAGAAAGTTAAGGAGTTCAAGTAGACCATATTTCATTTTGACATGTGTATGTCAAGAAGTGGCTTCTTCTTCATTGTAGAAAACTCTAAATGGTTTTCCCATCTGAGATTGTTTACATGAGAAAGTCTTGATAAGTTCCAGTGAGCTACCTATTGCACTATTGTCAAATAAGATTATTATATTACTACATTTTTTGCACCATATTTTCTCTTTTTCAAGTTTGCAAGAGTTTGGAGTACATAAAATCTTATACCACAATTTTGTATTCGTTAGGCATTCTCTGTTTTGTTTCTAATAGAGCATATATAGTATATATAAATAAAAAGATTATTAATCTTTTAACATTTTTTTCTATTTTCTGTATTTTTCATATGTAAACAATATTTATCGTCAAAAAATAAGTTCTACATCCCTCTTAAAATTATGTGAATATGTTCTAGATCCTTCTTAAAATTTTGTTTCTATACAGTAGCTATAACATTCAGTTTGACAAAATGCCAGGAACACGTACTGATATTATTGTTCCTATAATGTAATGAATTAAAGTGAAACTAAGTAACCCTAACATTCTGAGTAGCATGGTAGACTGTGAAAGTAGGTGATAACATTTGTTTTATAAACTGTGTAGTACTAAGTAAATATAAAGCTGATTTGATTTCCCTGATTAAATATGGAAAGCATAAAACAAATCCACTACATTGTTTTACATGTACACAACATAGATTACTTCCTGCTTACATTTCTTGGCACAGGCAGTCATGGTAATTAGATACAGTGAATGGCAGAAACGTGAGCTGCATAAGGAGAGTAGCTTTTATTGGGGGGTGTTCAAGAATTTTATTTTACCGAGTTTGTTTCTATGTAAAAAAAATAAATGAAAAAGAAAAAACAAAACTAAAAGATTTAAGGGGGTTTGTCATTTCTCAGTGAACCCCTTCTATATCTGCCCCTGTTAACCATATGATATTCACCTTTCCACAATCACACATAGAATACAGTTGCTAGTTTTTATCAATTTCAGTGTTTTTAATTTGCCAAATAAATCAACTATCGACTTCCCCTCACAGTATATTTTATCAAAGACTTGCATATTAAGTATCAAAGTACATTTTCAGATTGAATATTTACTATCGACTGACAACAGCAACATGTTGCTTGTCAGAGTTTGAAGATGAGCTGCTGCCTTGCTATTGGTCAAAATGTTATTTGATTGACGTGCATGGAACTTCATAGAAAGTTGAATATGCATGCGTAACTCTTGATCATATTTTTTCTAAAGAGTCCTGGGTTGAGTTGAATTATGGATCTCAAAATGACCCAAGCCTATCACAGAGTAGTGGCAGCAGTCATGGCGTGCCATTGTCAATCTATAACGGTAATATGGAAAAACTTTTGATGGAAGCACAGAGGGAATCGTCCAGGTCAACGTCAAGAGGAAGTTCACAAGGTGGCAGGTAAATTTGAATACTGTAAAATAATTTATTTTAGCTGGAATTGATTTTCGCTGAAATGACTTTTTGAGTCTTTTGTATGGAATTTATTTTCACTGATTTTTGACAAGGTTAATGAAAAATATAGGAAAAAAGGTATATTTGCTGGATTTTATATTCACTTCATTATTACTTCAGTGAAAATTAATTCCAAGTGAAAATAAAGTATTCTACAGTATTTGAGTTTGGTTTCAATTTCTAAAATGAGGTATGGTATGGTATGGTATGTCATAATAATTATAGAGCAGGAATTCCTGGTCAAATTTTATTCATGTCTAAAAACAGCAAAAAAATGTTCGGTTAAATCAAGGAGTGGGAACTTACTCTGTCAAAGTGCAGCTGTTAACATTAACAATATCTTGAATTGCTGCCTTTATAGCTACAACGGGTCCAATGTCTTGCAGAGTGTAAATTGTACTCTGTAATGAATATTTCTATGTCCTGGATACAGTAAATTGTACTGGTACTTAATAAAAACAAACTACACATAGTTATTTCACTGATGCAGTAATGGCTGACTTATTGATTTTATAACTTGATCACTCTCCTCTTGGAAATAAGTCAATAGTGGAATAAAATATTATATGCTTTTGGTAATATTTTTTAGAATAATCCGAATCCTGCGGAAAACAAATCAACTTACAGTATTGCTCTATTAGAATGATATATACCAAAATATACCTAACATTGCGTTATTATGTGCTGGATCATTAAAATATGACTTAATTTGCATCTAGACAACCTCTGTCATGAATGTAAGCACATATGCACTACTAATAGAGCAAATCAAGTGTAGGTACTGATAATTTAGTCATTAAAATTAATAAAAAAATTCCCTTAGATTTTCTTTAGTTTGTTGCAACAAAATGAAAATAAAATGAGCTTTTCACAATGGATCAAATCATAAAAAGCATGGAAAAAAATATTAAAAATAATGACATTAAACATAATTTTTTTGTTATGAAATAAAGCAAAAATAAAATCTGTTTGCTGTGGTGCAATTGCACAAATATGCAATGCAATAGCTACGAATCAGTTATGTAAATAGGCCAATGATGGAATGTGTTTTTGTTATTTACAGTCTTACTTTATGATTTTATCATTACTCAATTAATCAAAGTTTCCATCTGTGAAAAATGACCTCATTTTAATAAATACTGAAATATTTTATGAATAATGAGAATTTAGGAGCAGACTCCCGGCTGGGTAACAGTACTAGTACACAGAGTGAAGATCAGTTCATTTTTAAACATTTGAGGCAGAGAACAATCATTTAAATATTTTCAGGGTGGTGTTTTTTTTATACCATTTACATTTATGCTTTCTACTAGTGTCATTTTGAATAGAAAACTAGGGCAGACCTAGATTTTCATTTAATGTTTAAAAAAATGACTGCGATCGCAGACTGGGGTCCTAAAAACACAGTAACAGCGACTTTCGTGTAGTTTTGTCTCAATGAATATAATTAAATTATAAAAGCATGAAAATTCCAAAAAGATATTAAAGTATTTCATTATGTCATTCAGCAGTTATGAATTTATTATTATATTTTGTGGTGAAAATAAAAGCTAATTTTAAGATTGATACATGAATAAAAAAAAATGCATAAAACTTACTTGAAGAAGTCTGTTTTAATATAAAAAAAAAAGGTAAAAATCGCTTGATTTATGCCCAAACCATAAATGTAAATTGACCACATCGAATGTAGGTCAGATTTACAAGGCTATTCATTCTGTCTGAATTTCAAGGTCGTTCATGAACAGCGCAGTGTTCTCTGGCTGAAATTTAATATGCTACATACATGTTTTATAGTGAAAAGCATTTTCCGTGTGTTTCGAATGTATTTGTGTTTTGTGATCACTACAAAAATGTTCCTATACAATTTAACAATACTAATGTTACTATACAATAACAAATCCATGTTATTTTATATATATGAAAAAGCCTGGCTTTAATCTTTATGGTTTTGTCTCTATTAGTAGTGTACAATTTAGTTTCTTTTTCTCTGTGTACACTCCCATATATAAAAGCCTCTTCACTGCTCTCACCATAGAAACAAAATAGAAATAAAGATAAACAAAAAATGTGTTTTTTTTTTTTGTTGACATTTGGGTCTCTTGTTTCTCAGAACATTTTTTAAAGGCCAAAAAATACCTTTTCTATTTTATGTATCAAATTGGCATGAACCCATGAAAATGAAAGTACCATACATGTATAACAAAATTTAATCTTCATTCTGGTTGACATCTCATTATATTAACCAAGGAAATTGAAGAAACAACCTTATTGCTAAAATTGTTCAACACCCAGCAAAATCTGCATGAAACATCAAAATAAATCCTCTTTCAGTATTATATTTTTTTCTCAAAAGAGCATGTACTTAAAAAAAATAAAGAATTCATTAGCCAGATGGAGCAAAAAGATTTTAGGATGGCCGTTTCAATAGAAAACAAAAGACAAATCCAAAATACATTCAACATACATAGTATTGATTATTTCCTGCAATTGATATAGGAATATAGGAAAAAAAGGTATATTCGCTGGATATTATTTTCACTGAATCATTCCTTTAGCGAAAATAGTAGTACTGTAGTAGGACCAGAAAATAAACTAAATAAGTTTCCAGTCAATTTTCAAAATCTATGCAGGTGTATGTGTTTTTTTTTATTGACAAATTTTCATAATAATTGTACAAAGTTGATATAGAAAATTGTTTTAAATAATTTGAAATAAAAATTGGCATTATGATTGTCAATAAATATAAAATAGTAAGTTGGTAATACACACATTGCATTTAGCTAGCATCGCGCTGAGGGAAATTCTAAATATAGAACTAAATAATATTTTAGACCTAGGTACCCAAATAGAGCGGTGTTAATAATAAATTGTGAAACCTTGGAAAAATATATACCGGTATTAGCATGAAATAAATCCTAGCATATGCATGGGTGAAATCTGGTCATATTTTGCAATGATACAAAATGTATTTCCTTAACCATTTCAAATTTCACAAAATAATTTTATTTTGTATTTTTTTCAAAACTTTTGATTAATATCTATAGTCATTAGGAAATTATGTTCATTTGGTGCAAAATTAGGAGAGAAATTATAGAAAAATAAATAAAATAAGGGAAAATGTTGATTACAATTTTTTTGTGGGGAAAATGATTGCATGCAAAAGGTTCATGTGAGGTCTCTCAAATTCCTAAAAAAGACGCATGTTGTTGAGGGCACTTGAAAATGTGTTCAGTTTAGACTGAACAGATTTTATGATAGGTTTTATATATTTTCATTGTGTTTTATTTATATATTCCAGCCCTAAAGCTCCTAATAGTCCTATTGGTTCAAGTGCAGGGTCAACTAGTGGATCTATAAATGGATCTTCATTAAATCATCAAGAACGCCCTCAAATACAGGTGCGTCAAGTTGTTGTATAGAAGGTTGGTTCTTGAAATAAGGAAGCGATGCGAGTCAGCAGTACGTTAGATGACAACAGGTTTCTTACACACTACATACAGGATACAGCGAACTTGGAACAAGGAACTGCCCAGGATATGTCCTGGTTGGCACATAAATAGCCGTCAAGTTCAGGCGGAAAAGTTTCAGTTTACATAGCTATGATAAGTAGATAAGTACAATGGGTGGTTGGATAAAATAAACGATAGGGCAAAAGTATCTATAGTGGATTGGCTGACTGGTATGCAGTCCGAATCCCTAATCTGTAACGAGCTTGATGCTTGTCTGTTGTGCACAATAATTTCTACTATGAAATGGAAGATTTTATATTAGGCAGATCATCAATAAAAAGAACCATCAAGATGGATTAATAACATCTTGTTGAATTACTAGTTTAGTCAAAATCAAGTGGTCCAAAGAAAAGTGGTAAAAATTGACTACCGGTACCAAACCCAACATTCCAACAATCAAAATATTTAGTGGCAGCTGGTAACAAGAACCGATATCTGCACTTGTCAGATTTGGGAATTAAGCTGGTGAAGTGGTATTTATTCTGACAACAATGTGATTTATAATATCCATGTGTTGACATTGGCCGGGCTTGGATGACACACCTAGTATGTTATCATATATGTTGTATTTACTTTATAGCTTGGTATAGCACAAGGCTTGGCAGATGCTTCAAGTAGAGGTGAATGGATATGGGATTGGTCAAGCAGACCTGAAACACAACCACCTAAGTAAGTCAAAATAATAAAGAAGCACAACACCTAAGTATGTGCAAAATAATAAAGAAGCACAACACCTAAGTATGTGCAAAATAATAAAGAAGCACAACCTCTGAGTATCAACTTCCCCGTTCATAAGCCCAGGGGCCTGAACATGGAAAATCAGGGAAAGTAAGGGGCAGGCTTATACTTGAGGACCACCTCAGAAAAGATTATTTTCGAGAGGTTTACCATTGTAACCATATTACCACCCATAAAAAATCATCCAAATTACATCTATGCTTCACCATGCCGGGCTCGAGCGAATATTGTGAAACGAGTCGTCTTGATTTCCACTTTTACAATGAAGAAACAAAAATGTTCATAAAAATACACACATTTTATTACAATATGATTTACATACCGTCTGAATTTACAGTGTAAAAATGGGTATCGTCTGTCGGAAAACAGTCGAAAGCAATTTCTTTATCATTAGCTCCACTGTCATTGAAGATGACTGAGCAGAGCTCATGGGTTGATCACACCTGTCTTTGTATTTTTTGGATTATTTCTTTTGGATTTTTTCTCTTTCCCATACGTTATATATGAGCTATGTATAATGCAGTAGACAACTGTATCAGTTGGAAGCTATGCTTTCTCAGTACACATTGTCTTGGAAAATAAACTGGATGGGCCAATGTTTTCCTGAAATGCTCAAGTTCAAGTCAAGGTCATTTCAAGGTTTAAACCTTTGCTGCTTTTATATGGTGATACTGATCAATGAGGGTAGGAGTGACTAAAACACCTTCCCAAAATCTTCAAGGCCGGGTTCTGGTTATCTCAAGGCCCCAGGCCAGGGTCATCTCAATTTCACATGTTGATTGCATGTGTCTACTGTTGTGCTGATCTAGAGCAGTTGACACAATGACAGCAGAAAATGAAACACTGTTTGAGGGGCAAGGGCACATTTTTAGTCTCAGTGACCATTTTGCATCTATAGGGTTATTGTCATTTTATTGACATCTCTCTACGTGACCCAAACATGACCTCCTGGGTCAGGCAAATACTTTGACAACAGTGAATATACCATTGTGTACTGAGTTGTTTATTGTGTGGCTATTGTGTCTGAATACCCTTCCAAGGTCATAACAATTAGACTTTGCCTTGTTACATTGTAACAAAGCTACTCACAATTAAAGGTAGTGTGTTCACTTTCGATCTGCATATATGTCATATGTTAAAAATTTATTTTTGAATAAAAATAGGTCTTCTTAAAGATGGTTTGATTATCTGATGTTTTCCTTGCTGAAAACAATGTCGTATAATTGGAAGTTTCAATTATTTATCTTTCAATTTCATGATGGCAGGAAATGGAAACAATTAAAAGTAGTTCAGATTAAAAAAAATGTGGACAATCAATAATTAAGTTTTATAACTGTAATCACTTATTAGTCCCCGTTCGGACGGAGTCCGAAAACGGGGACTTATGTTTTGCCCTGTGTGCGTCCGTCCGTGCGTC